CTGTCATCGTCGTCCATTACGGAACTGGGAGAGAAGCTCAGTATTATCTTCGATTCAGGCATGAGATGGCTTGCATTGGCCCGAATAGCTGCTACGATGTCGGATCGTTCCTCTCTGCCAGGATGCAAGATCTCGTTGTGAACATGAAGCTCAGCAGAGGTACGGTAGGTTTGGAACGACCCGAGCCTATCTTGGAAGTTCCCACAATAACGCGGACCAAGTTTATGATATACAGCGATCAGCTCATCTGACAGCGGTTCAGAGAATAGATGGAAGGAGGCGACTGAGAGTTTGGAGGCAATGACGTTTCTGCCCAGCCGAGGCGCCAGGTTCCGTGGTGTTCCCAAGAATGCGAGTATGTGGTGCTTGGACACGCTAGAAGACATGGAGGCAAAGCTATCCTGGCTGCTGTCCAGTAGTGGAGGATGCGAAGGGTAGTGGGCTTTCATAGTCTCGGTGAACTCACCATCGACGAAAAGAGATGCCTTGGCAGCGCCGATACCGATAGCCTTGGTTCTTCGATGAACCACAGCGATGTGATACCACCGGCCTGCTTCAAAGCGAGGAGCTTTCTTGAACCTGACACTGGGTATAACACCAGTAGAATGGCCCATGTAGGTCTGCAGGATAAAACAACGCGTATCTCTCTCCAGATATGCCATGAGGAAACACGTTTGCGTGTCGTCGTATGCGCCGAAGAGTGTAGTGTGGCAGTCGGCGTCGAACCTGTCGACCCTTACCCAAGCAGCAAATGTATAGCCACCTCCTGGGGACATGGGCGGAAACGGGCGACCAATGTCTGGAAGTTCAATGGCGCTGAAACCATGCAAAGATAGATCGAACTGTATGAAGGGCGGATCGCGCGAGGAGCGCATACCACGCAAGAGAAATTCAGCGGCCGAGTCGGAAGACGCTGCTTTGCGGAAGAGGTAGTATGCATCGTCCAGCTTGTTGATGCCGTACTGAACTAGGCCATCGGCCAGCTGTTGCAAGAGGCTAGCTTCTATAGGAGCGCACTTGTTCTCAAAAAGTAGGGGTAGGACAGTGCTCAAGACGCCGGTGACGTGTAGCGCAGCTTTGTTATAAGATGAAATGGAAGTAATTTCCAGAATAGCAAGCAGCACCGAAATGGAGAGCGCCTTGGAGCGCGTGCCCGGGGCATCTTCACCAGATAGACCGCGCCAGAAGTGGAAGATGGTCGGAATGATGTCTGGATTCTGCAGTATCTCATTGCCGCTGAATATAGCCCGTACCTGGCTGCGTAGTGGGTCGAGATCAATGTCGGTATCGCTGTACATGGACCGCGGGCTAGAGACTACGATCTCAGTAGGCTGCGAGTCGCCGCTGGCCGCTGCATCCTCGTCCTGCTTGGGTTGTGCGATTTCGACCTTCTTATCGATATCCCTGAAGATGCGTGTCATGGTCTCCTCGCCCAAGGCAAAGGCGAACAGGGTGCCGAAAAGTTGCTCCTGGCCGGCATCATCGCGCTTGCTCTGCGACTGGCCGCCAAAAATGCCAGTGCTAGCCAAGGCCTGTTCCAAAGCACTCCAGCCGCCGTGCTCGACGCGCTTGGCGAAGAAGCGCCTGTTACCGGCATGCTCGTTCAGCGCGTCTGACAGGACATCGAGTGTTCCCTTGATCACCTCGAAGAAGTCGATGCGGTCGGGCGTGGGCAGCTCGGCGGGTTTGTAGAAGCCAGAGAGGGAGCGCAGGGTAATGAGGAGGGTCTCGAAGCCGCGGACATGGCGGAACGCGTCTTTGGTATGGGTTTGGTCGTTGGACTCGATCAGCAGCTGGCGCATGCGGCGCAGGGCGTTGCTCTGGCTGTGGAGGACATCGGGGGTCGGTGGTGACGTCTCGGAGGCCCTGATCAATTCATCCGCTAGGCTTCGGAGTTCGGCTATCTGGTTATTCATCGGCGGCAGTCGTGAGGCGGCCGTGGAGGACCTGTGCGGCCGAGTCGTCGCCATGTTCAGGCGAGACCGCTGCTGCGGAATTTGGGCGGAGGTGATGGCAGGGTGGGTCGCACCTTCATGTCTCCCGAGCCCCAAGCCCGCACATGAGACCTCAACTTGCGGGGAACACTAGTCGTGTCGTTTGGTGGTGGGCGGGCGTATACTGAGGGCTGATTACGGCGTGCGGGCGCCGCTCTCGTCGTGGTTGCTGCTAAGCTGGTCATCGAAGCTGATCCCTGTCAGTCCAGGCTCCCACGCTGCACGCGCCGAACGTCAAGTCGCCGCAAAGCAAGGTACTGATAAACAATGCGCTAGCACTAGAGCTGTGCATATCGCCTACCAACATAGTTATGATAAACACGCGTTCTGTCTCACGCGGGCCGCAGGGTGCGCTCCTGACTATTGCCTCTCACGTGAGCACGCATTGCCCAGGTGTGGCTGGCACAGCTACCTGGGCACATCGAGAACGACCTCCGTATATGTCAGACCAACGTTATCTCCCAGCAACCCATATGTGAAGCGATGCCTCGACGAACACAGCCATCGTCTGCATCCCAGGGCACTCGGGTGTCCTGATACCAACCATGTATCATTCATCTGATACTCATGGCGCGTGCGCTAGCTCACCCCAGCCTCACTCGCGCGGGCGCGGATAGGTCATGCGTCATCCACCTAGCGCGCCCGGGCCATGCACCGAGGTCCTGATAAGAAGCTCCATCGCCATAGCTACCCCAGCTGCATCCCCATCTCTCCTCCACAACACTCTCCTCCCTCCCATCTCCCCTTCCTTCATCTATCACGCTTCTTGCACCCCTTTCACCCTTGTGTTTCTAGTTCTCGCTGTGCGAGCTCCGCCATCATGAAGTACAGCCTGGTCTTCGCCCTACCGGCTTTGGCCGCCGCGTCGCCTACCTTCAACGTAGAGACCATTCACAAGAACGCCGCCCCAGTGCTGTCGTCGACCTCTGCCAAGGAGGTGCCCAACAGCTACATGGTCGTCTTCAAGAAGCACGTCAAGGATGCCTCCAAGCACCACGACTGGGTCCAGAGCGTCCACACCAAGAACAACGAGGAGCGCATGGAGCTGCGAAAGCGCTCCTCGCAGTTCCCAGTTACTACTGAGGTCTTCGATGGTCTCAAGCACGTCTACGAGATGGCCGGCATGAAGGGCTACTCTGGCCACTTCGACGACGAGACCATCGAGGCCATCAGGAACCACCCCGATGTAAGTTCTACCCCCAGCTGTTACCAGCTTGCATCATCTCAGATGGCGTCAGCGCGTTGGTGGCCTAGAGTGAGCGCTGCCTAGGCGGCCTTATCTCCGCAGGCAGCTCCGGCTCCGCATCAGCACACGTGACGCCATCTAGGTACCTGTACCTGCATAAGACTTGGCGCTAACACTTTGATAGGTTGACTACATCGAGCGCGACTCAGAGGTCCACACCCTCGGCCACGACGAACCTGAAGTCGAGAAGAACTCCCCATGGGGTCTCGCCCGTATCTCGCACCGCGACTCCCTGAGCTTCGGCACCTGGAACAAGTACCTTTACGCCGCCGACGGTGGTGAGGGCGTTGACGTTTACGTCATCGACACTGGCACAAACACCAAGCACGTCGACTTCGAGGGTCGTGCTAAGTGGGGCAAGACCATCCCCAACGGCGATGCCGACGAGGATGGTAACGGCCACGGCACCCACTGCTCCGGCACTGTCGCCGGTAAGAAGTACGGTGTCGCCAAGAAGGCGCACGTCTACGCCGTCAAGGTCCTCCGCTCCAACGGCTCCGGCACCATGTCCGACGTCGTCAAGGGTGTTGAGTACGCTGCTAAGTCTCACTCTGAGACCGTCAAGGCTGCTAAGGACGGCAAGAAGAAGGGCTTCAAGGGAAGCGCCGCCAACATGAGCTTGGGAGGTGGCAAGTCCACCACCCTCGACCTCGCAGTCAACGCTGCCGTTGATGCTGGTATCCACTTTGCCGTCGCTGCCGGTAACGACAACGCCGACTCGTGCAACTACTCCCCAGCTGCTGCTGAGAAGGCCGTCACCGTCGGTGCCTCCACTCTCCTCGATGAGCGTGCCTACTTCTCCAACTACGGAAAGTGCAACGACATCTTCGCCCCTGGTCTCAACATCCTCTCCACCTGGATTGGCTCTGAGCACGCCACCAACACCATCTCTGGAACCTCAATGGCCTCTCCCCACATTGCTGGTCTCCTCGCCTACATGCTGTCTCTTCAGCCTAGCAAGGACTCTGCCTATGCTGTCGCCGACATCACCCCCAAGAAGCTCAAGGAGAACCTCATCTCCGTCGCCACCGTCGGTGCTCTCTCTGATGTCCCCAGCAACACCAAGAACGTCCTCGCCTGGAACGGTGGTGGCTCTTCCAACTACACCGAGATTGTTGAGAAGGGTGGCTACTCTGTTAAGAAGGCTGCCGAGAAGGAGGAGGAGTCCGAGTTCACCATCACCATCCCTTCTCTCTCTGAGATCGAGGGTGACTTCGAGAGCGCTAAGGAGTCTGCCAGCCGCACCGCTCACCGCGCTGGTGGCAAGCTCCAGCACCTTGAGCAAGAGATCGAGGACTTCATCGCCGAGGAGATGGAGTCTATGTTCGAGAAGGTCAAGGAGCGCGTCGCTAGCCAGTAAATGTGACATGATATGATCGTTAATATGACCCAAGAGGGTTTACTGATATATGGAATGGTATGGGTTCGGTATCGGCGTCTGGTTTTCTACATGGAGCATGTGTCTCCCATATCATTGGACACAAGTTGATGTACTGTACGTTACTCTTGATATGGAACGCAATTTGAGGTAGATTAGATATCTGGAATGGATCTATCTTTCCTCCACCAACTTTCACTCCCCTTGTGCATGTGCCAATCTACTACACTCCACGCTGCAGATGGTGTCGTTAAGACCAAGACTCTTTTCCTCCATGCCTTACTCTAACATCTGTCGTCGGACCTTCACATTGTACCTGCGGTTTTGACCGTCCATATCTCGCCAGCGATGGCTACACCGTTCAGGAAGCAGTCTCGTCCCTCTATTTCAAGCGTTCATACGTTCCAGCCAGCTGTCTGAGTACGCCATAAGCGAAGCCGGCGTGCTTAGAAAGCAAAGCCGCGATGGGTGGTTTTTCAAGTAACTCAATGTGTTGTACGAGTGTCTTGCAGAGCGCTTGTCGTAGTCCGGCGTCACTGTCGGGTGTGGTAGTAAGGGCATGTTCAGCAGCCGTGGCGAGATGCTCTGTATCCCAGAAAGCCTCACACGAGCGAGAAAACTTCTCCTTCGCAAGCAACTTTAATCCAGTGACGTCGTATTTGTCCGCGATCTCGTAGATGGTTGTATGAAGCAGGAGCTGAGTAGCATCGCCTTCGGGTAGTAGGTGCTTTGTACAATATTCACAGATAAAATTGACGCACTTCTCGTCACAGGTGGCATACTGGCAGATGTGGTGGTGACACACTAGATCATCTCCTTCTTCGCATCCAGCCTTGCAGGTATGGGGGAATCTGTAGTGGAACCCGTCGTCTTCGGCGTTGTTCTTGGGATCGGCATTGGAAACTATTCTATACCTGGTTTCGTCCTTCGGATCAATCTTGGGCAGCTGTGGGTCGTACTCGCTTTCGTAGAAGTACTGGACCAAGAGTTTTACGGCGTGCGGATCGTCTTCTGGTAGATGGACTCTGCCTTCTTCAGCTTCCTGCGTAAGATCGCGTTAGCAGAATTACATATTAGTGAGGCACACTGATGCCTGTCGGTATACGTACCTTGCCCACGGGGAACTTCTCGGCGTTCTTGAAGAACGATGATTGAGGGCACACAATGGCTTTGTGCACGTTGTAGGCATCTAAACCGCAGGTGATCTTCAGATCTGAGTAATCGCCTGATGAGAGTAGACTATTGTTCTTCGTTAGCTGGCAGAGCGAGTCGGAAGCTGGGCGCGACTCACGCTTTCAGTCGAGCCGTGACGTCGCCATGGGTGCGCTCAGTCATGTTGTCGTTGGGTGCGAGTCGATATGTTATTAACTGAAGTGTGTATAGCTTTGTCGGCGGGAAGGTGTGCAAGAAAGAACGATAGGCGAGTTTTAAAGCACAGACGTGGTGCTAAGACTAAGACGATATGGGGAATGAAAGTGAAGGTGAAGGTGAAACGAGCATTATTTGAGACAATAAGTCCAAAACTCCGAAGGAAGCTATGTGTCCGCTATTGTAAGGCTGTCGGTTGGCGCCTCTCGAGGAAACGTCCTCTGTACCGTAGCCATCCCTTCCCTAGGACATGCACTTCGTAGTGCAATGTATAGTGTCAGGATGTAGTATTAAGTATTGCGACGTTACATTCGGTAAGAGTGCATTCTGTTGCCCTACATCCTCCTCGACCTCCTCACGCTCGCAGCGTAACCCTAACCGGCAACCCATCCACCGGATGAGCTCCACCACCACCCATCTCAGCCTGATACGCTCGGTTTCCATCAACAGTCTTGACACCCTTCCTCGGATGCAATTTGTCCCATTCCTCATACGCTGGAGTAATATCGAACATCCTCACAGTCATGACCAAAGCAATCTTGAGTTCCAACTGCGCAAGCGTCTGCCCGATGCATGCACGCGGGCCCCACTCAAAAGCTCTCCACGATGCTTTCTTCGGGTACAGTGGGTCTTCAGGATCGACTAGCCAGCGATCAGGAATGAAGTCTTCTGGCTGCACAAATACTTCGGGATTATGATGCAAAGCTAAGGTGAGGGTCCATATGTTACAGCCTTCTGTTGGGTATTGATGGCCTTGCTCATCTGATAGGAACACATCTGGACGGCCATCGCGCATGCTGCCGGCAGGAGGGAAGATGCGTAGGACTTCTTTGATGACGGCCAAGGTATAAGGTAGCTGGTTCAGTAGTGAGGGGTCGTCCGCGATAGTCCGAGTGATGGTGTCGAGCGAGAAGTCTGATCCGAATACCTTGTCATGTTCTGCACGGACTTTAGACAAGGCCTCTGGGTGACGCGAGAGGAGTACGTAGCTATACAGTAGTGTGCTACTCGTAGTATCGTGTCCAGCGTAAAGAAATAAACGAAGTTGAGGTTTCGCGAGCTGCTTGAAGATCGATTCTGATATCGCATCTTTGTCTTCTACATCTTCGAGGTACTTGTCCATGGCTAGCGCAATGATAGATCTCGTCTGTTTTCGGGATTTGGCAGATGAGTCTTTGCGGGAGCTGGCCAACTCTTCGAAGCGCTTGTCAATTTCCTCATCGAGGTATCGGTTCATACGGTAATTGTTGTACTTTTGAACAAGCGGACGAGGACTAAGATAGCGACGGAACGGGTTAAATGTTGTGCCAAACGATGTCCAGTACACTTGTCTTCGGAGACAATCTGCGAGCGCGCTTCCTTGGGTTTGGTAGTATAGACGTGAGCCACTGTGTCCGATGTTCAGCAGTTGCCCCATTTTAGAAGCGTACTAAATGGTGAACTCACAGGGTAACACGTGCGATAATGTCGAATGTCAGCCGAAGAGTATGCTCTTCTAAAGGAAAGGTTTCATCTTTCTTCGCGCGTTCTTGGAGAAGTTTGCAGAAAATTGAGACTTCCTCGGCGATAGCAGGTGAAAGTCCTGTGATATAGCCAGCAGCAAATCCTGGATTAAAGAGCGCTCGCCATTTCTTCCACGTGCTTCCCTCCATTGTCAGTAGAGACGGACCACCGTTGATGACCTCCAAGGTAGCATTTATGTTGGGTGGCTTGTTGAGGAAAGCAGCTTCTACTTGCGATGCAACATAAGGATTTGCGACCACCATGAGAGGAGCGTTGAAAGGCCATAGGTTGAGATAAAAGACGCCGCCGGGGAACGACTCTGCTATCCGCCGTACTACCACATGCATTACAGTGTTGCGAGGCAAGTCCTGGATGGTTTCTTTCAATACGATGAGATGACCGAACAGTGGATGGTGTTTCGGCATAGGCTTGCTATTATTAGAAACATATCTGCGATGTATTGAAGAGTCGACTTACTGCACCTGACTTTTGAAGCCTCTTGATGTGTTGCCGATTAGCCATTAAGCTGGCTACGAACATGACGAAGGCTCCGGCGGCAACAGCCATGATGGCTGGCATGCTGACCCGCGTCATGCTTACTCACGTTTTGTGCAATGAAGATTGCCGAGGGCAGCACAAAAGCACGAGTGGATAAGCTCGATTTCGCGAGTGTTGATGTTGAAATGCCGGCGAACGTGCAAGGCGCACGAGGAAGTAGCCTTGGGGGGCGGCACGGGTAGGGCGCTAGCCCTATTTGGGCACCATGCATGTCAGCACTATGTATAGCACAAACACCGCATTCTTGTACTACAATGCCATGCACCCCGACAGCTGAAATGATTTTACCCAGGCCGGTTAATAACATGCTACCGAGTCGTCGGTTTCTTACGGATGTTGTGATTCGTTCTTCATTACCCGACGCCGACCGGTCATAGCCCCCACACGCAACAGCTCCGGGCTGTCACCACCATCCAGCACACGAAGCCGCGACTCCAATGATTAGCGCAAGAGATGAGCAGGCAATTGTATGTTCTGAATGTAATTACTATTTTCAAGTTTTCTCAGCCCCAAGCCTCCATGCAGTCGCCTGTGATCCCACATCTTGCGATGTGCTTATAATGTCTCGACGTCCCGCCTGAAGTCTCTGTAGCTATATCGTTCAGTCTTCTCACCGAGATCTCATCCTACCAAAGCATCTCTCCAGTCATGTCGATTGATCCATCGAAACTGCCACCCGCGCAATACGTGCCTGGCAGACAGTACGCCATCGAACACGCTGGTAGAATCGACAAGGTGCCATTCGTGGTATGCATTCCCCGTGCTGCCGAATATTTTCAATACTGACGAATACCTCAGGTCTCAACTGGACTCCTCTTTGGACTTGCCATTCTTTCTGTATTCGTGCGCTTCGCGATTCGCATCTTTGGAGGCCGAAAAATACGATGGGACGATGGACTCGTCTTGGTGTCGTCGCTGTGCTTAACAGTAGCGTTCGCCTGTGTCCACAAGGCTCTTAATCCTTTCTATCTCGTCGAAGCCATAAACCAAAGGAAGACAATCCCGTTCCGAGAGGACATTCCTGCGATATTGGACATCCCCAAGTGGGCGTTCATATTCTCCATCTTCGGATGGAATTCCATATATCTAGTCAAATTTGCTTTCATGTACTTCTTCCATGGCCTGACCCTTGGACTGTCGGTCAGATTCGTACGATTTTTCTGGATCACCGCAGGCTTTCTTGTCATTGCTTGGATCTATGCCGTAGTCAACTTTGTCGTCATATGTGCACACTTTGGTGCAGACGCAGGTCAGTCAATGTTTTTCCATTATGAAGACCCGAAATACTGAGTTCATACAGCTAAATGCGGCGATTCCCAGATGCATAAGAGAAGTGTCGCGGGTAATGTCATCGTTGGCGTCCTTGACATCATAGGCGATATTCTCAGTAAGTCATACAGCTAGAAACTTCATTACCCCGGTTCAAAGGCTCATTATCTCTAGTCGTTACCGTTCCCATTGTCGTCGTAAACCAGTCGATGATGTCGTTTTCTCGAAAACTATCAATCGTGGCCTTGATGGGTCTCTCGGCAGTAATGGTTGTTTGCGCATTGATACGGGTCGTTGGCTCGTTGACCGAAACAACAGCGGCGGCATTCGGAACTGCACCGGTGTGGGCTGCATATTGGTTTATGGTCGAATCCTGCGTCGCGCTCATAATGGCGTCCGTCATTGTCATCCGCGGAGTCTTCATCACCAACCCTGTCGATGATGACCGAAGAAAGCAGGATAGTGTATTCCAGCGATTTGGGCACCGTCTCCTGTCGGTGCTAAGGCTTTCCAGATCCTCAAGAAGCAGCGGGCGGAGTCCCCAGCGAAGCGAAGCGCTCCATGGCAAGCGCGAGGATCCAAGGGCGCCGAGGATCGCTACTCAGAGACCGCTAGGAGGAACGTTGAATACCGTCAGAACATTCATCTGGGGTGGTAAAAGGCAAAGTCCACCGGCATCACAAGACGATCCGCTGGTGTCAATAAACACAACCTCTGATCTTGAGGAGATGGACTACCATAACATCCGGAAGGCAGAAGTGGCGAGACATAAGCCAGAGGTGGCCATGGTTTGATGAGCGATGGTGGATGGGAGGGGAAGGCACGTCTATTGCGCGTAACAAATTGAAAAGCTGTATTGAGGTATTCGCCACTAGGTGTCTATTGAGTTATCCGAGATGCAATCAATGGCTGTGTGTTGAGATATCCTTCGCGGGGTTTGTCGTGACTTGGATCGGGAAGGGCCGATCTGAGGATGTTAGCGTTGGCGCCACCGCGTCGTTCTCCACATCTGTTCCTCTTCTCCCGAGTCGCGTTCAACTGCATCTACGCGTCGCGAGCGGCATAGGGAGCTCACTGATTACCTATGGCAATTCCGCCTTATTGCGATGCATTTACGTCCAATCAGTAACCAGGTAAACCTGCATACCCAGGTAGCATCTGCAGGGCTGGTGGCGGAGCTGCCGCAGCGCTCTGCTCGCGCACTGACATCTGTGCCGCATGCGATACACAGTTCGCCACTCCCGGAACCACTACCACCACCACGATGTGTACAATCGTACACGAGAGCTCAAGCAATATCCTGTACCTAATCGTGGTGGTATACAAATGCAGCAGAGTCGCGTAAGGCGTTACCTGATCGAGAACGCTGCGTGATGGGCGCCCATGCTAGGAAATTCGAACCTGACACCCTTCTGGAAGGAGGCGTTGCTGCAGTCAGCAGAAGGATTGTTAAGCAATTTACGCCTGGTCTGCCTACAGCTGGTATGTACGAGGGAACGCGCGTCCTTGTTGTGTCTGTCTTTATTAGCAACCTGTTCCTCAATGCTATTGACAGTCTTACACCTGTATCGGGTGCACAAACTTTCATATGGTGCTCCATGAAAGTCGGGCGCTTATCTTTCCGCTTCTACGATGACACCCAAACCTTCTCGAACCCGATCTACGCTCGGCACAGGACTATCACGCTTTGCAACGGCCTGTCGCGAAAGTCATCGGCAGGCAGCTAGAGACATTCGTAAACGATGGCGCCGCTGTGGGTTATGGCTACTTTTCATAGTCTGGGTTGCCATGCTCTTACTCTGTCTGACATGGATGTCCTTCCTCGATTCCAGGCCTGTCTTGGAATTAGAGGCCTGTCTACCGGATGGTTCCTTCACCATAGATCCCTCACGTTTTCGATATCTGAGTAGCTCGGGCTTTTTCCAGATTACTTTGGCATGGGGTCACATGAACTTCACGCAAGTGAAGACTATAGACATCAGCTGGGACATAGTGAGCTCCAACTCTCTTTGAACCAGGTAGCTAATTCTATGCTCCATGGTCCTGAAAGCTAACAGCTGTGAAGGTAGTTGGTCGAGGTGGTCAAGCACTTATCGCATACGTATCGTGGCGCGTTTTCGCCAAATACGTAACAACATCAATGGAAGTTACACCGATCACGTTTGGTACATACCGGACCATATTTCTGCCAAACGGCGGTCTCTTCCTTGCTATTCTCTACATGATTCGAGATTTCGTTAAACGTCACGGCCTGTATTCCAGATTGGCCATGGTTTTCATGGTATATACTATGATCTTCACCTTTCTGTATCCGACTCTCGCCAGCGCAATGACTGGTTATAGTGCGAATCTTGCAGCTTTTGTTAATACCACTGAAGGTGACCTTGTCCCTTTCGGCTCCTTTGGAATCGCATATTTCATTATTCACGACGGATGGCGCATCCCGGGTCTAGATGGCGACTACATTGTGACAGCTCCTGGAAAAAACTCTGGCAAGTGTTCCAACTCTAATATTGGGTAACTTTCTTTGATCTGACTCGGCCGATAGGATTTCCTGGAAACCAGCCAGTGATTTCATCATATCAAGCTTTTGATACGGAGCTTCACCGTTGCTACTTCGCTTACAACTATGGGGGGGACATTGGAACTTGCGATATGCAACTCAATGTGTCTAGGTGTAAGTTACATACCCAGAAGAGTACGGCTGTTGCTAATAGGCACGTGGACGCCTTAACATATGGTCTCAATGGAGAGAACAATACAGAGTCGACATTCGGAGGACAATCTCTGGGACCTCCTGTACTCAACATCTCGGCTCCCTCCTTGCATATCAGCCGGCCTATGCTCGGTATCAGTGGCGATATTCCGGTACACAATGAGTCTTGGCGCGATGAGGGCTACTTTGATAAGATGTTCTTTGTGGACGATTTGTCGCTGTTATTATGGGGATACGCCAACGAGACTTATCATTTAGATGACATCCAGAAAAACGGGAGCTGCCAGGCTGTGTCGGTAAGTGAAATCTGCGCGGCAACCGTTCCTCAACTAAACAAAACAGGACTATAAATGGGGTTTCTCTTGTGCTCAGCTTTTCACAATGGTAGCACTCCATATGATCTGGACTTTTGGTCTTTACAGCATGTGGCTTAGGGCCTACACGATTATGAGAAGGCGAGGGAGAGGGAAAGAAGATGTGGCTGGTGATCATAAAGCTATCTTCGAGCTTGCAGCCGCCATGAGAGAGCAGATGACTGATCCTATAAGTGAAGACGGTGACAACTTGTCTACGCTTACTGAAGCTAAGCTGCGTCAGCGTGTCACGAAAGATCTGCGTGGAGGATCTATCTCGTACACTGCCCCTCTACTTCCGAATGAGCAAAGCGGTCAGGAATGGGATGCCAAAGCCTGGGTCCGAGACCACAAGCTGTCTATCCTTGCGACGTTTCTATGCACCTTCGGAGCAGTGTCCAGTATAACGAACCGGGTCACGGATGCCTTCTTCCTCATTCCTTTACCTTTGGAGTTATTTCTCGCTGTATATGTTGGGTCGACGAGGGGTGGTCGGATTGTTCTTTTCGTCTGGTCATTCGTGATCATCACCATTCCGACACAGACCGCTCTTTCCATAGCACGTCCGAAGACATACTTCCCATATTTCATTCGCGAGAATTAAAGCTCTACATTACGTCTCTCCAAACTCCGGTTTCGCCACATCCTGTCATCAGCTTCCTTCTTCCATTTTCTCACACGCATACAAGAACGTATCGATGGCGAGCGAGAGATCTCAGCGAAGTCCAGCAATGTCTCAGCTTTCTGACCGTCGGGTACGATTACTTCCTACGCACATCAATGACGGTATCTTTCAATAGTCGTTCGTCCAGAGTAAGTTTGTATTGAATGTCTCAAATGTTTACCGCGCCTCAGAAATATCACAGCCCATCACTGCGAGCCAGCGCATCACTATCCTAAGACCCGCCAGCTCACCCGATTTTATCGCAACACCTCATACTTTGGTGACAGTACCCCATGCATTCATTGTGCCGCCCACGTATAAAAGCACAGAGCTATCCTGCACCTTTACCACATCAACAAAGACATCTTATTCTCCACTACATCTCTTACACATTTACCACAACGCAAAACATCGAAGCACCGCTATCCTATAAAAACCCCCCAAAGCTCAACCCTCACCAAAGCCAACCATGTATCCCCGCTTCACCCGCGAAGAATGGGCCCAACGTAACCCCTACGCATACACGCGCGGCATCTCCCCACCGCGCAACCGCTACGAAGAACCACGCCAAGTTTACCACCCAGGCGACTACCGCAGCGTGAGCCCTCCTTACTCAACGGAGCTACGGAGGAGACCGCGCGTCAATTCTAACCGCGGACCGCGTATGCATCCCAATTTGGGTGATCCGTATGCACGTGACTACTTTGGGTCGGGTATGGATATGATGCCGGGAGGGGATTTCGATTGGTGGCGATGATGGGTGGTAGGGGTGATGGAATAGAGGGAGTGGGTGAAGTGGTGAGATGAGGGGAGCGTACGATGGGGGAGTGTGAATATTGTTAGATTGGTGTCTGGAGAGTTTGGGGTGGAAGTGAAGATACATCTTGCCCGTAGCCAATGGTGTGCACCATATGACCCCTTTTCTTCCCCATCCACGTCTCCTACGTGTTTAACACCCTTCTTCAAACTCGCGCTTCGCAGCTGCATACCACTCATCCTTCATCTCGCACATCGGGTTCGGCAGACGATACCACCTAGAAATCGTGACTCTGAGATTTTCCAATAGCGCCCGTTTGAAGATCCTCTCAGGATTTGGAGGAGACTTCCTTATATCTGGTATCATGCATGTAGCGATTGCCAACTCGTCAGTTTGTATCTGTTTCCACAACTTGTAGTACGCAGGACGATTTGAATCCCCTCTCATCGCCTTGTTCAACCCTGCCTCAACAGCCGAGGAGCCACGCAAGAAGTAGCGCAGGCTAGCGTGACATTGTGCGTATCTGGTGCCTCCCATAAGGGGTCTCTCGAATCCGAACTTGTTCACACGCCTAGTGTCATAGCGGAGCACGACTTTCGCACTTGGGTTGGCGCGACAGAATGAGTGTATGATAGGGTATTCGCCGCCCATGAGCAGCTGCCCGATATGGTACCAACAGTTCTTACTGATCTCAGCGCTTTCCAATGGCCTGGGCGTCACTGTGCGCGCGATGACCGTCATGTGTCGGATTCTCGCTTGTGCACTAGCAGGAATGGCCTCTAGAAACCTCGCGCATATTGCTTGTGCCGGTGTTGCTGTTCCCGGTTGTCTCATGAAAACAAGCTCGTTGTACCGCAGGCTCAAGCCCCTCGTCTCTTGGCACAGTAGGCGACAGACGTATCGGAGCTGGTTGAACTCGGCTTTTGGAATGTGGGGCGTCTCTAGAGTGTACCGCGAGTGATACTCCTCTTGTGCGTAGAGTTTGGGAATGTGGAAACAGTCATCTTCGGTATTGATGCTGACGACAGAAGCCAGTACTGGTACTGAGCTGGTGAGAGCGTAGGAGTATATCATTAGTCGCAGTTCGGCCGGAAGTTCCAGGAACTGGCTATGGGCATTTTGCGATGTCATTATTAGCTATACGAATATTCTGTTAGTGCTGGGTGGG